CACCTGCCCAACTTTGCCTGGTGTCAACATTATCGGAAGAGTATATCGGATAAGGTGACTAGACATCACACGGCATGCATCAGAACAACAACTGTAGATCCTCTGGCTGTCTGACGTCACATGCCGTCAGCTGGCGGCGTTGCACGTTCGGGGCCTCAGCCTGCAACGGGTACTGGACGAGCTTGCGGGGCCAAACGTAGAGTGGTGGAGAAACTGACTAGAAATCAATTAAACTTCACATGGCTGAGCGACTTACGTAAATCAACATAAACCCCTAGCATGTTCCTACTACCAACCTAAAACCTGTTTCCTCCCGGGCTCGAACCGGGGACCTTCCGCGTGTGAAGCGGACGTGATAACCACTACACTACGGAAACGGTGTATAACAGACTTAGATGCTGTTGGCGGGCTGCTAGCAAACATAGAATTGGAAGACATCGACCCATTGTATTCTATTATATAAGTCATGTTTGGGCTTTACGCACTGTGCTTTATTACGCACTGTGCTTCATCTGGAAACATGGTAAGCCTTAATAACCCTGATATCGTGTCACTTCTCCTGACATGGCACTGGATGACTTGACCATGATTTATCTGATAATCTGATCTTGACCAAAAGTGGCATAAGCCCATAAAAAATACAGCCACCCACGTCTCCAATGATTGTTTTTAGCATAACCTGTGTAAACGATGTAAGATCTATCCAAAATCGCCTTCGATTTTGAAGCCAAGACACTGCACACCGAAAGCATACCTGGCGTACGAAAGGAGTCACGTTTTTCCTAATGTGCCGCAAAGCTGCCTCTGGAAAGTACCCTCTGCTATGGGCTCAAGATGCTAGAGCTTACCAAGAAACCCTGCGATGACGTGACGATGCTGTTACAAGACATGTTATATATATATATATATATATATGTATATATATATATATATATATATATATATATATGTCTTGGTATGACAAATAGGTACAAGTAGCCAGGTAGTAAGCTGATAGTTTAAACCTACTTGATACAGTGCACGAGCACTTCTCAACGCAGGTCTTACCAACGAGCTCTTTCATGTCTCCGTTCTAGGCAAGCATATTTTACCTGGCACCTGGCACTTACGACGCAGACCTATCAGTTATTAAGCACGCAATGTGGATTAGATGGCACTATACCTGACAGTTGGCGGTGTGCGCCTGTAGAATGTCAGCCAAGTGCATTCGCACGTAGGTAACAGCATTTCCACGAATCAGTGCCAGCCATGTCGTCGGCGATGTCATGTCAACAATTCAACATCAGGTTACAGTCCTTACGTAGCGGCTACCTAGCGGCTACCTAGCAAGTCAACAAACATATTATAAACATGCCTTATTTAGGTTGTAAATATAACAAGCTATGATTGCACTTGTCACAAACAAGCCCAGCAGAAATCCACTCCATTCGACGCCAGACGTCCGGTCAGCAACTAACTGAAGTGAACAGAGCTGGACAGCTAAACTAGGGATGAGCTAACGTAGGCACCGGCTGTCGTTTCTGCCAGGTTTTCTTGATTTACCATCTTCACCCGAGCCTTATCACTCACTCACACAACATTGTTCGAAATGATCACCCCATAATTCAGCTTACTAAATTTACGAATAATGGGTTTCAGCTCATGACTCAAAACGGCATTTGTCCTGGTGAGTCGAATCAGCTCACGGCTCATCTCAAAATTACTGAATCGTGAGTCGATTCATACTTAAACTCGAGAAGCACACAAGTCTGGTGAGGAGGCCCAATTTTGTCCAGGAGGCCTCCTAGAAAATACAGCCTCCACTGCAACTCCAAGTACGTAGCGCCGCCCCCGAACGGGGCGTCACGTTGCATAATTTCGGGAGGGATGAGGCCCCTACCCCAATGCTGACTTGAGCCCCTTCAATGCTCTCCTTAGCCTCCTCCCCCCCGCACCCCTATCTCTATGAGCAAACACAGGAATACCGACCATTGAAATGCGGCAAAAGGCCGCCCTGAATTGGTGGTACACTCTGTACCTAAGCACATCACAATCAACATCATTGTCCTCATACATCATATTGTCATAATCACATCAGCTCAAAAGAGAATGACATTCCTCAATATCAAGCACATCTTTGGGGACGAAAAATTATTTCTAGGATTACCGTTCCCAAAGTTGTTCTTTGGTGTTGAGGAGTGGCACCCCTTTTTAAGCTGATGTGGTTATGATAGCTATGATATTTGATGATAATGATTCCGAGCGTAATACGTTTAGGTACCTACAGTATCACCAGCTCACTGTTTAAAAAAAATCTAGCATCGGGGAGGCAAATCCAAGCGGTCGAAATCCTGGGCGATATGGGGATTTGAGTAAATGTTAGGTCAACTTTATTGGTTCAACCCGCACCGCCCCACCCCCCCCCCCCCCCCCCCCACCGCCCCCAACCGATTTTGGAAAGTGACATCCCTGGCCAGCCCTGGTCTCCCAAAGTATATGTGGGAACAAGATTGTGACGTCATCACGGAGCTTCTTTATTTTCCGTAGCACTGTAGGCCCGGAGGAAAAGTCTTTTTCAGAGGCAGTTTTGGTGCACATTACAACAAGGAAAACGTTGCCTCTCTGGTACGCGAAGTGTACTTTCGGCGTCCAATACCATTGCTTCAAATTGCAGGCCATTTTGCGCGGATATTACATCGCTCGTATGGGTAGTGCCAGTGGTAACAATAACTGGTTTATAGACGTTTATGAGTTCCTGGGTTCATCGGCTAATAGCGCTCATCCAGTTTTCCTAGATGCTTACCTCCTGCCTCCTAAAGCGTTCTCCTCGTTTGAATACAAGCTGTGATTTCTGTGTTTGAAATATCTAAGATCTCGCATATCTTATTGTGTTTGGTAACCGGGACATACTCTCGACCCAAACATCTTCCATTCTATTCTGAATGGCGCAGAAGGTGTCGGCACTGCATTGTTCACCAGCATGTGGTTGCTGGACTCGACGTTGAATTTAATGTTTGGCACTTGCTTGTCTCAATAGAGGCTTTTAACAATCCCGAATATTAGTTGCGTAACTTTCGCTGTACTTTGGCCTCGTCTTTTTGTGTTCCATCTTCCTCAACTGTTTATTTGTGAAGTTACAACTCATATGCTGATGTCGGATCATTTCATATGAGTCGACCACACTGCAAAATAGCATGCTGTGAAACGAATGGTCTTTACTCTGTGCATATGTAGAAAGATGCGACAAGATCATGAAGACATTAACCTGTCTTGTTTGGCCAGCATGACAGGCTATCTAATATAGTTATGTGAGGCACTACGATCTGTTGGGAAATGGCAAGGGTGCCGCCATGCTGGTTTTGTGTTTGAAAACGATTGGTCATATAAGCTGTCGGGAAACTAATAATAAGACGACCTGAAAAAGCATGTGGCGCTGATGCGATCACCCCTCGCGCTTAATGGAAATCAACAAAGCTAAACGCATCGGTATAAGGTGAGCGGGTTGACGGAAGAATAACACTAACCTCTAGGATACGTTCTGTCTGTTTAAGAGATGCAGCCAGTACGCAGCCAGTACCGAATGGTCTTTACTTCTGTGCATATGTAGAAAGATGCGACAAGATCATGAAAATGCCACCCTTTCTTGTTTGGGCAGCATTACAAGCTAGCTAATATAGTAATATGAGACGCTCCGGTCTGTTGGGAAATGGCAAGGGTGCCGCCATGATGGTTTTGTGTTTGAAAACGATTTGTTATTTCAGCTGTCGAGGATATACATCGCAATGTTGATTAAGCGACCTGACATAACATGTGGCGCTCACGCGATCACCCCTCGCGCTTAATGGCAGTCAGCAAAGCTCATAACGCAGCCGCATAAGGTGAGCGGGTTGACGAAAGAATAACACTAACCCCAAGGATATGTTCTGTCTGTTTAAGAAATGCAGCCAGTACGCCGTGTAGAAGGAAGTACAGCACCGAGAAAACTACTAACTAACGTGTGCACCAACGTGTACAATGCACAGGATGTAATACATCTGTACAAAACAAATGCGACATCCACATATGATAGGATACCAGATAATTATGCATGTTTAGGTATGGCGTATGGCAGAGTGGGCAACCAAAGCTTCTCCCCTGTCAATGACTACACCCGTCTTTGCGCAGCCGCGTCAGTGGCGGGCGGGTGACGTAACCACGGGTGACATATCCACGGGCAAAATAACCATGGGTGATGTAACCACGGGAGACGTAACCATGGGCAACGTAATCAAGGGAGACATAACACGGGCGACAAAACCACGGGGAACGTACCCACAGGTGACGTAACCATGGGCGACGTAACCACAGTAGACGTAACCATGGGCTGACATGACTTGGCCCGGATTTGTGTAGCATACGATAGGCAGAGGCATTACCTAGGGCCCAGATAGACACGAAGTTATACACAGAACATGATACTACTTGGGGTGAGCAGAGCAATAGCCAAATGCGTTACACATGTCATTAAATGTGACCTGATACCCAGGGGATAGCGCCATGAAGGTGCCGAATGTTAAGCCCAGTAAAAATAATGAGCATATTTGTTACGCTAATGTTAAGGATTGAGGGTGAGCAACTGCAACATTTGGGTTGCACCAATACGGTTCTTCTGATCCATTTTCTGATCTTGTTTTATTTGCAAGCTTTCATCGAGCTCTCCTTTCATCATTCGGTTCCATCACACCTGCCCAACTTTGCCTGGTGTCAACATTATCGGAAAGCTATATCGGATAAGGTGACTAGACATCACACGGCATGCATCAGAACAGCAACTGTAGATCCTCCGGTGACGTCACATGCCGTCAGCTGGCGGCGTTACACGTTCGGGGCCTCAGCCTGCAACGGGTAATGGACGAGTTTGCGGGGCCAAACGTAGACGGTAGTGGAGGGACTGACTAGCAATCAGTCAAACTTCACATGGCTGAGCGACTTACGTAAATCAACATAAACCCCTATTATGGTCCTACTACCAACCTAAAACCTATTTCCGCCCGGGCTCGAACCGGGGACCTTCCGCGTGTAAAGCGGACGTCATAGCCACTACACTACGCAAACGATGTAGAACGTCATCAGACCATGTTGGCGGGCTGCTAGCAAACATAGGACTGGAAGACATCGACCCATTGTATTTTATTACATAATTAATATTTTGGGCTTTACGCACTGTGCTTTATTACTATCTGGAAACATGATAAGCCTTAATTACCCGGATAACGTGTCACTTCTGACATGGCACCGGATGACCTGACCCTGATTTATCTGTTCATCTCATCTTGACGAATAGTGGCATAAGCCCATGAATAATGATGGAGCCACTCACGTCTCGAATAATTACGCTTAGCACCACCTATAAAAACGATGCAAGACATATCAAAAATCGCTCTCCATTTGGAAGCAAAGGCACTGTACACTGAAAATATACCTGGCGTACGAGGGAGGTCACGTTTCTCCTAATGTGCCGCAAAACTGCCTCGAGAAAATACCTTTTGCTTTGGGCTCACGATACTAGAGCTTACCAAGAAACGCTGCGATGACGTCACGATGTTGATACCAGACATACTTTGGGGGCACCAACGATACCAATATTCTAGCAATGTTTTTTGGTAATTTGCGCACGACGCTCCACATCAGCGTACCTCCGGCTGCCAAACCGATGAAAGAGAGTATCCCACTGTGCTGAAGTCTCATCGGTATAGGTTCCGAAGAGTGATGGGTGATGGGGTCCATTCGTTTTTAGACAGATACCATTTGCGCAGTAAAAACATCTACCTCTGTTATCATTTGCTCGTTTCACGCCAAAAGCGGCGTCTTCCTGGTTGCAGTTCCAATCGAAACAGAAGTGCTGCTGGAGACGGCCTTCATGTTTATACGATCGGCTTCTGGGCGGGCAAGATATGGCCTAGGCTGGCCTGGTCATAACGATATGGCCAAGGTTGTCTGGAACTTTGCTCTTTGCTAAAAATCTCCGCAACGCATGTCGCAACGCAGCTGATTTCTCGGAAATCATGCTCACAGTGAAACGTAACCAGGACATTACGATTGACACAAGTCAGTCGAATGACACATGTGAATCGATGCGCACTGCTTTGTACATGCACTCGTGCGCAAACGGCAGATTCGAAGACTTGGAGACCTTTTTCATGGTTGTCGTCAAATTTCAGCGACCCGATCAAAGGCATGAAACAGACTTCGCTGTGTAGGTGCATGTATCATATACAAATTAGCCACTCCAGTCCAATGCCGTTACATTCATTGCGACCCAAGCAAACGGCAAAATTAATGTATCAGATACAAATCAGCCACCTCAGTCCAATGCTGTTACATTCATTGCGTCCTCAGCAAGCGGCCAGGAACCAATCAATGTGATGCTTTCCAAACACAATGTTGAAAATAACGCGCCAGTGCCTCTGCTGAGCAAACGGGACTAGTGAAATTTCCTGTATGGAAAGTCCAGTTTATGTGGCAAAATCTACCCAATGGTTTGCGAAGTTCGCAATGATTTGGTCACAATCGCTTAGAACGTCCGCCGTTGCCGAGCTTTCTATTTGTTGCTCTTGTCGGCGCATGTTGCCACGCTCATCAGTACATTACGTAACGCCCTATTTATTAAGTGCTAAGTGGGATGCATGAGTCGATGTCTCCCAGTCATGTATTTTCCAGCAGCTCGCCGCCAGCGTCTAAAAACGCCTCATAATGCTTTCGTAGTGTGGTGGTTATCACGACTGCTTCCGACGCGGAAGGTCACTGGTTCGAGCCCGGGAAGAAGCAGGTTTTGAGGATCATTTTGATTTGCGTCTGTTATGTCCTCTCTGCACATCACCCCTGTGGATCTCTAGCTAGAAGCTTGCTGATAGTTTACGAGATGTGCTCAGTCTGGTGAAGTTTGGCTGGTTGCCAGGCCGTCTCTATCCGTCAGTGCCGAGAACGTTAGGTCCCGCACGTTCGCCCAGCACCCGTGGCGGCACCCGGTCGTGAACTGCCACCAGCTGATGACGTGTGAAGTCACGAGACAGCAAGTCTACGGCCACTGTTCTGGTGCGTGCCGTGTGTTGCCTAGTCACGTTATTTGATGCAGTCCTCAGTTAATGTTGAGACAAAGCAAAGATGGGCGGATGCGATGCATCCGAATCGATGAATGTCCGTAAATATAGTAGGAGTCATATCAAAAACGCATAATAGATTGGTGCTCATGACACCAACAACAAAGTAGCCAGCCTACTCGTGCTGATTTAAATAAAGAGATAAGCTGCTCACCCTCAATGTTAAAAGTAGTGTCCTACCTCTCGGGCATATCTCAGAAGCATCCTCTAGAAAAACGTCAGGACTAGTTGTCTCAGCACGGATTGTGCCACTGCAGCCCCGTCAAGACATGACAAGAACATCATCTTAAATCATTCTGAGCCAAAATTACGCTGTAAACGCTTTGGAACAGAACTACGTCTCCTCTCTTCCGTCGTGACTACGGTCTCCATGGCACCCACCGTGCGCACATTCTACTGGTGCGAATCAAAGAACGCTTGGCATTGACTGATTGAAATTTGCACTAGTGCGCCACGCGGATCATATGATGCTTCCATTCTCGCAGTCAAAGTGCGCCTCGAAAACAGTCACTGTTGTAAACACTATATGGATAAATCAAAGTCATCGGATACCGATTTGTTGAACACGCGGTGTGATGGCTTCATGCCGCATATATTTTATGCAAACAGGGTACTTCAAGCTTTTGCAGCATCCAGTAAATAAACATTTGTAGGTACATGTTGGGTGACATATTCGTGTGTTGAAAACATGCATGCATGTAGGTTAGGTGAGGTTAGGTTAGGTTAGGTTAGGTTAGGTGAGGTGAGGTTAGGTTAGGCTAGTAGAGGTTAGTTTAGGTTAGATGAGGTGAGGTGAGGTGAGGTGAGGTGAGGTGAGGTTGGGCTAGGTTAGGTGAGGTTAGGTTAGGATAGGTGAGGTGAGGTTAGGTGAGGTGTGGTGAGGTGAGGTGAGTTTAGGTTAGGTTAGGTTAGGTTAGGTTAGGCTAAGTTAGGTTAGGTTAGGTTAGGTGGGGTCAGGTTAGGTTGTGCATGCATGCACAGACATGCATGCTGGAAAGCAAGGCAACTTCACTGTATTAGTTGCAATGGGACTTTTTCCGAAACGCAGCGTCGGCTACTTCAAATCGAAGTCCCGATCTACTCAGGAGGACTTGGGGAAAGCCTGTGACATTGATCAAATCGCAGTCGTTTGATGTAACAATATGTGACAAGCAGAGACATCGTGGGATGCTCCACTTTTCCTTAGATTAGCAAATGTGCTCATTATTTACACTGGGCTTAACATACTACATCTGCGCAGCACCACGCCTAGGCTATAGGTCATATTGAATATCACAAGTTCATCGTTCATCGTTTCGTGAAGCAACCTGTTAGGTTAGGTTAGGTGAGGCTAGGTTAGGTTAGGTTAGGTTAGGTTAAGATAAGTGAGGTTAGGTGAGGTGAGGTTAGGTTAGGTTAGGTTAGGTTAGGTTAGGTTAGGTTAGGTTAGGTTAGGTTAGGTTAGGTTAGGTTAGGTTAGGTTAAGTTAGGTTAGGTTAGGTTAGGTTAGGTTAGGTTAGGTGAGGTGAGGTTAGGTTAGGTTTGGTTAGGTTAGGTAAGGTTAAGTTAGGCTAGTAGAGGTTAGTTTAGGTTAGGTGAAGTGAGGTGAGGTGAGGTTAGGTGAGGTTAGGCTAGGTTAGGTGAGGTTAGGTTAGGATAGGTGAGGTGAGGTTAGGTGAGGTGTGGTGAGGTGAGGTGAGTTTAGGTTAGGTTAGGTTAGGTTAGGTTAGGTTAGGCTAGGTTACGTTAGGTTAGGTTAGGTCAGGTGAGGTCAGGTTAGGTTGTGCATGCATGCACAGACATGCGTGCTAGAAAGCAAGGCAATTTCATTGTATTAGTTGCAATGGGACTTTTTCCGAAACGCAGCGTCGGCTACTTCAAATCGAAGTTCCGATCTACTCAGGAGGACTTGGGGAAAGCTGGTGACATTGATCAAATCGCAATCGTTTGATGTAATAATATGTGACAAGCAGAGACATCGTAGGATGCTCCACTTTTCCTTAGATTAGCAAATGTGCTCATTATTTACACTGGGCTTAACATACTACATCTGCGTAGCACCACGCCTAGGCTATAGGTCATATTGAATATCACGACAAGTGCATGTGGTTATTGTTCTGTTTAGTGCAAGCAGCGTTGTGTTTTGTAAAACCATGCGTGCTTGCCCGAACCCTAGATATTGGCCCTGTCTTTCGTGTGCCAGGTCAGCCGAGGGCACGCCATGTCAGCCCTGAGGCCGTTTGTATAAACACGAGTATCGTCACCAGTCGCACCGTCGTCACCGTCGCTTGATAATCCGTGTATTGGAGCTGACACTTGCGCAGCTCTCGGTCTCATTGTTTTTTTAGTACGCGTTCAATATCACCGACACGTGCCTTCCCTTGGTAGACTCGGTGAAATCCAGATGTACTCGCGACCAGACGCGGCAGGCCAGGGTCACCTGCAGAGAGCAGCACGGTCAGGCTCAGATCTGCTCTCCTGGCACGCCTGGCAAGAGCTCGCGACACGTGCAATGTCCTCGCCCATGAGAGGCCATCATAAGCAGCCCCTCGCGAAGGCCTCCCATCCCACGAATGCCAGGGTGAGCTGCATGAGGCTCTGTTCAGACAGCCTCACGTGCGTTCCTGAGTGTTATGACTCGATGATCCCACATTAGAGCACCAGAACATACAGACAATTCCAGTCGTTGGGTGGAGAACACGGACAGGTCAGGGCCAGAGTTCTGCAGCCAGCCACTCTTCTGGACGCAGTGTGTCACTTGAAACAACACCGGGTCATGTAGTGCTATCATTTTAGCGGCAGTAAGTCCATCGTCCACCAATAGTACGAGGTCTTTCTCCTGCAATGATGCGGAGTCTGGTATCGAATGCCTGCTGAGTTCGTAGGCGTTGCCCATCCTCCCCGTGCGCCGCACTAGATCTCGTGCAGGTATGCGGACAGCTACAACGCCCGCCTACGAATTTGGGCAGACACCAT